CCCCTGGTAGGCCACAGGTGCTGGGTTGCAAACCTCTATTGTGGCCACAGCTTCTATCAGGTGGGCCTCTCTAGCAGACACCACCTTCAGATTCAAACAACCTGCTTCACCACTTGTCTGTCCAAGTGAGAAGAAGTCCTCTCCCCTCCATTCCTTGCCCTGGAGTGAACAGTTCATCTCGGTGGTTTCCCTACCATCTGCCCTCACTCTTGAAAATACCCTCATTGTTAAAATATTCTCAAATGAGCCAGTATGTGGGTGCCATAAGCTTCCAGCCAAGACATGGTAGAAGCCTATATCGGCTTTCAAAATACCGATCATTCTTAGGGACCTGGTAGTGAGTGCCGTGAGGGGAAAAGGACCTTTGAAGCAGGCAGGTTGCCCTGGGAAACTTGGCCCCAACACCCAATATGTTTCAAAGTACAGTTTCAACCACACTCTCTGTCTGCTCCCCTAAAACTGTGACAGCCCCTGCACCGGGTGTGTCTTGTTCACTCCAGTGAAATGAAGGGTAAAAGAAGTGCAAAAGGGAGAATGAAAGGTTCAGTGAAGAGAATGATGTTAAGTTTAATGAAGCCGGCGGGTAAGATACTGATCTAGACATGTATACCACTTTGCAACTGAAAGCATCATTTCTCTGTTATGGTTCTGGGAAACTGATTTAATGACTTGAACAGCAACAACACAACTGTTCCTCAGATGAATTGTACACTGATTAGTGCTAGTAAGATAAGCGATTTTCATAATTGATTTCAAGGGATTTATAATACTAAGATATAGAAGAAAATATTAATGGAAATTCTGATTGAGAGTCGAGAAAAGGGTATCCTATTGCGAAGAGAACTCCCAGAAGTCCATCGTGCCAGCTGACAAAAAGAGCCTGCTGCACTTTTCCCAAGTTGGCTTTCACTGTGGGATGATGGATTCTTCTAGGATTTTTCTTAGGATCATCATGGTGTCCTCGGCAACTATCTCAAGTAAACACCTTTGTTTTATTCTTCTGAAGTAGTGGATGATGCGGTCACCTAACCATGGGGTGTAGCTAAGAAGACCAAGCAATGCCCTCAAGACTGTACACCTCATACAAGTCAGTTTCAAATCCCTTTTGCTGAGACCTTCCACATAACAGGACTTCATGATGTTTGTGTAGTCTGCGAATGTCCTCCCCATTCTCTGTGTCACCTGCCAGAGAGAGTCATCATCCACCCCAAACAGCAATTGGTAGGCCTAAACATATGCAACCAAGTCACCTGCGTCTAAGATGCCACAGGTGTCCTGGAGAGACTCTGTGGTTATTTTGTCCTGCAAGAAGTTCACTTTCTCATTAATGGCCATGTCACAGGTATGGGACAGATTTTGAAGAAGGTCATGGCACCTATTTATTATGAGATCCACTCACAATATGTCTCTAAGCTTTGGGAAGTTGTATGATAAATGATCAAAGCTGGAGACAAGGAATATAGGGGTATCACACACCCGTTTCTTTTGGAGATTTTCCAGAATATTTTTCCTAATAATCTGCTGTAGCTGCCCTTCTGGGAGGGCACTTGTGTTGAGATCCATGGCCAGCTTGGTCCAAACAATGTAGAACTGTTTTCCCATGTCCTCCACGGCTTTAGCAAGCATCACGTGATTCGTGTTGAACTGTTCAGACGCGATGATGATGAAGAAGTCATATCGGCTGAACTGCATTTCCGTCGCATAGTTCTCCAGGCTTTGGGCGGCACACTCTGTGCCGGGCAGGTCCCACAGCTCCACGTTGGGGAAGTGGGGAGATAGATAGCAGGCACGTGTTTGGGTAGTTTTTAGCACCCCGACAGGAGCTGAGGCCTCCTCCTCATGTCCTACGTTCCGAAGGGCATTGATGAAGCTGGACATGCCATTGCCGGAGTCCCCTGTCACAGCAACGTTGACTGGTGTCCTGAACGCTACCTTCGCAGTCTCCCTGACGGCAGAGACCAGCTCTGGCAAGTTCCCACCTGCTACGGCTTTCTCAATGCTCATGGCCTCTACCCTGGATAACATACCCCAGTCCTTACACTGTGGCAAGACAGCGGTTAAGGATGCAGATAACAGAGTGTAAGGGGACAGAGGGAATGCTGTCACATCAGCGAGCAGTGGAGGAACCTGCAGAGGCAGAAGAGCAGGTGAGTGAGGAGGGACAGGGTGCATCAGGATCATCTGACTCAGCATCTCCCGCTCAGGGTTTTCTCTGTCAACGACGACCACAGCAAAGGCAGCTGCATTCACATCAAATCAAGCAAAATGCACTTATTCAAGCAACGTGCGCCTTCCTTCCGGCAGTGGGAAAGGCGAGGCCCCTGAAGAACGCTCTGAGGCCTGTTGTGCCCCCAGTAGTCAGCCTCCAAACCGGGAATGTGGTCATGACAGGACTCGAGTTGCAGAAGAAACCCAGTCTCCCAGATGGCCCCACAAAGGTTTTTTGTCTCTTATTCTGTTACTCTGCACTCACATAGGTCTGGTCCTTCCCAATTTTCGGTACATAATTAATGACCAGGAAAAGACCAAGGAAGTAAAAGTCACCTATACACCTGAACAAATCAAAAAGCTTCTGCAAATACTAGGAAACAATCACGAGAATAGACAAGTCACAGAATTGTTGTATGCTTTACATCTAATAAAGGGCTGATAACTAGAATCATAAAAAACTCAGGCAAATCAGCAAGGAAAAATCAAATAACCCCATTAAAAAGTGGACAAAACGTATGACAGAAACTTTTCAAAAGAAGATAGACTAATGGCCAACAAAGATATGAAAAAATGCTCAACATCTCTCATCAAAAGGGGAATGCAAATAAAAACTACATTGAGATATCACTTAACTCCAATGAGAATGGCTTTTATCAAAAAACCCCAAAGGACAAATGCTGGTGTGGCTGTGGAGAGATAGGAACACTCACACACTGTTGGTGGGACTGAAAACTAGTACAACCTCTATGGACATGAGTGGGGAGATATCTCAAGGAACTAAAAGGAGAACTACCATTTGATACAGCAATCCCACTACTGGGTATCTACTCAAGGGAAAAAATGCACATTCTGTTACAAAGACATCTGTACTCGAATGTTTATACCAGCACCATTCACAATTGCAAAGATGTGGAAAGAATCCAAATGCCCATCAATACATGAGTGGATTAATAAACTGTGGTATGAGTATAACATGGAGTCTTACTCAGCCATAAAAAGAAAAAAAGGTGAACCAATACCTCTTGTTTTAAGCTGGATGGAACTAGAGACAATTCTTCTAAATGAAGTATCACAAGAATAGAAAAACAAACGCATGTACTCACCATTGATTGGAACTAATCAATCAACACTTGTGTGCACATGTGGAAATAATATTCATCAGAAATGAAGCAGGTTGTGGGGGAGGAGGGGGTGGGTAAATTCTTACCTAACGGGTACAAGGAGCACTACCTGGGGGATGGGCACACTTATAACTTTGATTCAAACAGCACAAAGGTCATTTATGCAACCAACACGTTTGTACCTCCTTAATGTTCTGAAATTAAAAAGTACATATGTACATATAAAACTTTTTTTAAAAAGTTGCCTATATATTTCTCTGCTGCGGGTGGCACAAGAGGACATAAAGCATCTAATTCCGATTGCCTGTTTGAAATCATGGTCTGTTCCTGCTTCACATTTACCCTCATCACGCAGGAGGGCTCACTTGAAAAGCGATATTGAAATGCTGCCAAACATATCAACAAAGTCGCCTTCTTTTGACCTTCCCTGAGCTTCCACTAGTATTGTCATACTGGGCCCAGCTGGGGTGAGGGGGCAGCCAGTCTTCTCAAATGTTCTGCTCTTCAGGGCAGCCATGCAGCAATTGGTCCTCATTGCAACCCCCAGGCCTGGCTCCTGCAGGTTCCTCACGGGGCCGGGTATTGGCACTGATTGAAAGGTCATTCTCTGCTCTTAAAATGGCCTGGCGGGCCTGTTTCACACACTCAGTGTGGACACACACTTGCACACTCCCAGCACTGCACACACCCACTCACACTTGGTGTGCACACTCACCCATGCCCAACCATGTTCACTCATGCCCACGCACACTGGCCCTTGGTATATGACATGCACACTCACACTCTGTGCACACACCCACACACACCCGTTCACACTGACACACGTACACACATCCTAACATATCTGAGTGGCCACATGTAAACACCACTGTATATAAACACTCATTCTTCCCTGCTACATACAATCATACATGTTCATTCACAGTGCACACAACTTACTTGTGGTGCATACATGCTCCCACACACACTGTGCACACAGATATACACTCACTTAGGCTGACACACATTCACTCCCCCACACGGGCTTCCTCATGCTGGGTGTGCAGAATACCCACACACGCTCCCGCATGGCACATGCACACACAGAATTTTGCGTCTTGAGTGTCCAGGACAACAGCCAGTACTGGGCCCTATTAGAGGACCCAGTAGATAGAGAACTGGCTCCTGCAGCCCACCTATGGGATATGAGGAAAGGACCTACCAGCAGGGCCAGAGAGCCCCTTTGTGTACGTCTTCAATGTCTTGGTGCCTGACTTGTCTTGGGAAGAATTTGTGACCCACCGTATGGTGAGGCCACCAAATGATCATTGATTTCATCTGTTGCTAAAGGAAGCAACTCATTTGGAAGAATAATTATCTGGGTTTACAGTGGTAACCAGTTTCTTCTCATCAAATGCTACTCAGATTACCGTTGCTTTCAGCCGGTCCACAAAGGGGAAGAGGTAACCTGCAGAAGCTGGGGGAGGGAGTAGGGTAGTTGCCAGGTTGGAGTGGAAACCACCCGCAGCCTGGCAGGAGAATGCCGTAGGGACGTCTGGCTCTCACACCTCGTGTCTCTGCGTGGATAGCTGGTGGGGTGGTTAAGGTGAGGAATCAGGGCTCCCCTTCCCCACAACATGATATCCGACAGCTGCACAGGGGAGCACAGCAGGAGCACATGTGGGGGGAAGACGGGGCTGGGGCCCTTGGCTGGGCCATTTTTTGTTGGAGACTAAGACCCTCCACATTCCAACGACTTGTCCTGCCCTGAAAAATAGCCTAAGACGAAAATAGCACCCAGCCCTCCAGCTATAGTTCCGAGAAGAATGCATTCCATGACATGCTTGCTCCAGGGCATGCTACCTGCAATTGTTCCCGACCCCCTGCCAGGTTGGGGTTGAGTGATCAATCACAAACAGCTTCCGATGCCATTGGGATGCTGATTGGGGCTGATTGGCCCACACCCAAGCCTCATCATCCCCCCACTCTATTTTTCCATTTCTACTTCCTTGTTTCTGTATATAAAACCTACTAAAAATCCAAGTAAAGTAGACCTTGACAACCATTTGCTTGGTATCCTTCCTTTTTCTCGCCCATCTCTTTCAGGCACGGTCCCCCTCACCCCCTCGAGAGTAACAAAAGGTCCCGCGGGTCGGGACAATTTTTTCTCACCCAAATTCTCCCAGAAAGTACTGCTTCATCTGGTATTAAATGCTTGGTATCATATTATGTATAATGCAAATCTTGGCACTTACCATAAAATATTTCCACTAGATTATTTACCAGTGAACCCCTAGCACCCAGAAGTTGTTTCACATATTTTCATTTGAGTAATGAAATACCATACACTTTGTGTATGTTGTTAACTTACTAGATGACAGATAAACTAACTTCCCTTTCTATACTCTGTCTACCGGCCGAGCCTGGAGCCTACTCGTGTGCACCCCACTCTAAAGCAAGCTCTGCAGGGTGTTGACTGTCCACGGTCTGTGTGGGAGTTCAGCACAAAACCTCCATACTTTTCCAGATGTTCTCTCTGACCATGACTGTGAATCAAGCCAGCATCTCCAAACCTGTCTGCCCACCTGTCACCAGTGCTGAGCCACACGGAAGGGAGCTGCAGACCCTGCAGCGCAGCTCCCACTGTCTTGCCCCAGTCCTTGCTCCTATGATCCATTTGTCCTGTGCCCAGAGTGCTGGTTCACCAGCTGCACCCTGGACCTGACTGAGACACACACCCGAGCCCCAGGACCCTTCTGTGGCTGTGGGCACCCGGGCCCATGTGTCACTGCCAGGCCAGGAAGGGCATGGTTTGCTCTGCATGGGGCTGGATTATCTTCCAGGAGGCGTCAGTGTGCCTGTGTGTTTGTGTGCAGGAGCATCCAGGAGCACCGACCTGGAAGTTTAGGAGAGGTTATCAAAGTCACCGTTGGTGCAATTGCCCCCAAGCTCTGCTCTTTGAGTATCCTGCCCTGATTATATCACTGCATACCCTTCTCCAGACAGGGGCTGAGGAGTCCTTGGAGAACAAGAGGAGATCTTTATAAAGGGAGCCCAGAGACCAGGTACAACGAGACAGTGGCAACCATGCCAATAAAAGGAGAACCAGACTCTGGAAAGAGCTTCTTGCTGAACTGACTGAGTAAGACTTCCAGTAAAAGATACATTTCACAAAGAACCAAGTACACATGAGCACTGACCCATCAAAGGCATTACAAATCAAATTGTCTTAAACAAATCTGACTCTGATATCTCATTCTATTCAATTCTATTCCATTCTTTGGAAGTTGTTTCTTTCATCTATTTGGCTTTTTAATGCTGTTCATAACCTACTAAATTAATTTCATGAGCCAAGGCACACAGAATGAAGAACATAGATGAGTGAATTCTAATGCAAAGTTATACTTCATTCAATGCTCCATTAACCTGTTCCCCAGACAAGGGTACTTACAGTGAAGTAGAACCTGGCTTTAGCACTGATACAGAGTTGGGACATAAGAGAAGTCCATGAGCCCACAAACCAATGTGGACCAAATCCCAAGCTTTTTTCCTGTTTGATCATTCTCAGAAAAGGCTGAGGGAAAAATCAGTATGATCTATTCCAGAATAGCACAACACATTTCCCCAGGTCAACAGTGTACATGATGAACAGGGCATTTTCTGAATATGATTGGAACTGCCATCCTCTTCCCTTAGCCCAACACACACACACACACACACAAGAACACACACTCATTAAAGTCATCTACAAAGGAAAGGTTTAGTGCCCTGTCATAAGAACAGGACTCTCCATTGCATTTTAATTTAGAGGAATTAAAAGGCCAGTTAGGTACCTAACTTGTAGGCTCCCGGACCCCAGCTCCGGATTCCTTGAGTGATCTTCCCTGGCCAGCTGACTGATAGACAATTCCTGGCCATCCCAGACATTGCCTGCAGCCAATCCTGATCTCAGGAAGCTGTCTACGCAGTGAATGTCAAGAGATTCCAAATTAGTTTCTGAGGAATATAGCCTGGCATATCCCATCTTCAATGCCCAAATTCATCCCTATCAGAAAACTCCTAATAAAAGGGGATCTGCATGAGGGAAGCACGGCCTCCCACACTTGCGCGTGGGTAGGGTTTGGAGCTGCAGAGGGATTGTAGACTGTTGTACTCAGAACCGGATAGATGTCAGAAGGGAGACCTGCTGTGAATTCTTCCCTGAAATGAAGCAAAGCTTTCACAGGCCCAGAGCTTTCATGTGCTGCCTGTCGGGAATTCACCTCCTACTGTCTTCATAGTAGCCTAGTTTTCAGCCAAGCTGCCCTCTGACCAGCCCTCTTACTTGAAAGTAGAATGTCTACGATCAGAAGTCAAGGGAACTCCTGCTACTTTGCCCTTCCCTAGGGAAGTGGCCCCAGCCCTTCCAGACAGAAGCAGTTCCCTCTAGGATTATCCAAACCTTCATTCCAGCCCCAGGTGGCTCAGAAAGGATGACTTGAGGGAAGGAAGTTGTAGAAAGAGCAGAGAAATACCTGGAGACGAGGAGCTGGAAAGCGGCAGGCTGAGAGTCAGGAGCTACTACCTTCCTGGCCCTGGCTGGTGGGTGGGTCAGCTCTCACCGCTGCCCTGTTTTTGTACCGAAGTCCTCCCCTCCCACCACACCCACAGCGCAGGGGGAGGGTTTGATGGGGCACACTCCCATTTCTTTCCTGGAAATGACTGATTTCCAGAAGTAGAAAGGGTTTCACTTTCTCATCCCCAGAAGCACCGGGATCCAAACGGCACAGGAGGCGGAGCAACACTGGCCTTTGCCACATGGGCAGGGAGGGCATCCTCAGGGTTCCTGCTGCCCAAGCAGAGGCCAACCTGGTTCCACAGAGGCCCATAAGGGGCCCTGCCTGCCCGCTCACCCCAGAGCCTGTGACCTCCTGCTTTGGTGCCGAGTCCTGTGCGACTGTGGACCTGCAACCCCTGGTGAAGCCTGGAGCCCCAGGGAAGTGCAGATGCATTGAGCAGTCATCTCCCTGGTTGCCTAACTCCTGCCCGGGTCTAGTATTGTCACCACCTCACACCACCCCAGTTCCTCCCTGGGCTGTGGCATGTGCCCTTAGGCAGGGTGCTCCTCTGCCTTGTGGTCCTCCCTCCATCGACGGGTCCCAACCAAGGCAGCCCCTGTTACCTGTTCCCACACGACTTGGCCACTCTGCACGCCCCAGACCCCTAACACGAGACTGTAGAAGCCTCGCTGACAGCCGTGCTCTGCACTAGTTGCAGATGGAGAAATGGAGGCACCATGATGGTGTTGTTTCCTCTGTATCCTCAGATCTCAGTCCTGTGCACAGAGGGCTACGTGTGACTTTGCCGTGTTTGAATCTTCGTGTTCCCAAAAATTGCATGTTGAAACCTAATCACCAGAGCAACAGTATTAAGAGGTGGAGACTTTAGGGAGTGATTGAATGACATTAGTGACGATATAAAAGGGGCTTGAGGGAGCCTGTGTTTGTCCCTTTTGCCATGTGAGGACACACAGAGGTGCCATCAGTGAAGCAGAGCAAGCCCTCGCCAGACAAGAAATCTGCTGACTCCTTGATCTGGGACTTCCCAGCTTCTGAAACTATGAGCAATAATTGCTATTGTTTATGAGAGTCCATCAAGTCCAAAGTTTCTGATGACAGCAATGCAAATGGACTAAGATAACTGGTGTAACATGGAAGGTCAAAGTTTGAGTGCCAACACTACACACTACTTGCTGGGTGACCCTGAACTGCTGCTTAATCTCTCAGTGATGCCCATTGTCTGTCCTCTGTTTCAAATGGGGTCACTAAGAAAAGCTCCCCAGGATGTTTAAAGTAAGTGAAAATACGCCCCAGGGCAAGGGGGTGGTGAGATCATAGCAAGATGAAAGAGTGTGTATGTTTTCCAGGGATTTGTAATTGCAAAACCACTTATGCAGCTAAGAGATTGTGAAACTGGCTTTGACACCCTTGAGTCCTTGCCCCAGTCACAAGAGAACGACAGAATCACTGTAAGTAGCCTGTGGATGTGCTTTCACCAAAGAAGAAGGCTCAGGGCTAGAAGGAGGAGCCCAGTGTGCAGGTCATAGGTCCCTGGGGGCTGGATGACCTCCCTTGCAAAGCACTAGAAATACCCACCTGTTGCAGAGACTGAAGAGGCAAGAGGGGGCCTGTGGATTAGGGCTTGGCCTTTCCCAAACATCCCACAGGGGATCCCAGTGAGCCCCTCCTGGCCCTCATTCTAGAGGGAAGGAAGTAGCATTCGCCACCCCAGAGGCCATGGAGGCCGACTGCAGCTGTATGTCCCACATGAGTGAGACTTGCCTGCTTTTCCCGCTGCCTCTCCACTCTCCGCACTGCTACCCTCCAAGGGTCCCAAACAGCAGAGACTCAAAGCAGAAGAGGTGGGAGAAGGGAAAGACCAGAAGCTGACAATTTGTCCCTACTGCTGATTTCTCAGTCTGACGTGGGACTGACTGGGGTGAGGGAGATTTAGGTTTGACAAGGGTCTGGGGTTGGTTTATCAGAATGTCTGGACTTTTGAAGACTTGGGTGTGACCGGGAGAGAGGATATTTCCTGAGCATGGCCAGGGAATACTAATCATTCCTGCGTAATATTTTGGTCAGTTACCGGGGAATACCGTGCGTCCCTGTTGGAGCAGTGACACAGGGGGCAGATGAGGGGAATCAAGTTGCTTTCAGTGGTCCCAGAGAAGATTCCTCAGTTCCACCTCACTGTGTCTCTGGAACCCAAGGGCCAGATCCCCTCAGTGAACAGGGGCATGGCAGTGAAGGGACCTCGGCCTGCCCAGCACTGTCTGTAGGAGGGGAGGCCCCAGGAGCTGGGTGGGAAAGAAGAGAAGGAGGAGGGTCTCACTGCATTTACACTGGCCCAGAATCCTGGTCGTCACTCTAAACACCAGCTGTGTTTGCTGAAGCCTTGTGCATTCCTGTCTGTCATCCAGAGCCCTAGTCCTGGCCCAACGGGCATCTGGCCATCTCCTGTCTCTCTGGCCTGAATAGTGGTCGCAAGCTTCCACTTTCCTATTCCTATAAACTGCTGCTTTGTCAGAAGAGAGGAAAACATAATCTGATTTCACTCTTCTTGTTAATGTATGGAACTTTCTAGGAAAAGGTAGAATCACTAACTGAAATTCCAACACGCTCCCACCTTTTAATAGGCAAATCAGACATTTCTGTTCCATATACTGTGACTGGGGTAAAACAAAAAACATCAGGTATGAAACCCAGTCTTCCACCTAGTCAGAGATTTGGAGCTCATTCTCTCTGCTTTGGGCCTCAGGCTCTTTGGAGATTAATCAGCAGTGGTAGCCCTCAAGGATGTGGGAACCACGCTAAGAAGACACCTGGTTCCCTGGGTTCTCAAGGCAGGTTTCATTCATGATGAGAGTCCCTATGTCTCTTGCCATCCCTGCCCATCCTGGCTCAGCCACAGCAAGGTAAGAAGACTCAAAGGGTTTTGCCAGAACTTCTTCCCTCTTTGTTTTGGGAACAGGCAACTGTTGCCCAAACAGATAACATGTACATCCATCAGATTTGACATTATTGGAACAACAGATGGCGTGAGAGTGGTCATAGCCAGGTGTCAAGTGTATCCAGACAAGTAGAAGGCAACAAGAAGAGATGCCTTTCATGAGAAATCTATGAGAGAAGGAAGAGGTCTGGGGAGTTTTTCTGATGGCTTGTCCCTGAGTGGGGAAGGCTACAGATAGAGGGGTGAACAGGCATCTGATACTAGAGAAAGTGTCCCAGAGGGGGCTGAGGTCCTGGGTCATTCTCAGCCAACTAAAAATATATGTATAAGAAATTAGCCAGACATGGTGGCTCATGCCTGTAGTCTCAGCTACGTGGGAGGCTGAGGCAGGGGGATTGCTTGATCCCAAGAGTTTGAGGTTGCTGTCAGGTAGGCTGACGCCACGGCACTCTAGCCCAGGCAACAGAGTGAGACTCTGTCTCAAAAAAACAAAGAAGTGACTGTTGTTCCAGATGCACAGAAATCAACATAAATACACAGGAAGCAGAAAATGAGAAGCAATATCACAACCTCAAAGGAATCTAATAGTTCTCCAGGTATGGATATCTGAAAACAAAGAAACAATCCCACAGCAATTCTGTAACTGGAGGCCATTATCCTTAGCGAAAAAAGTCAGACACAGAAATACAATTATCACATGTTCTCACTTACAAGTGGGAGCTAAATAATATATGCACAGGGACGCAGAGTGTGGAATGACAGACAATGAAACTCAGAAGGGGAGGGGTTGGAGTGGACAATGAGAAACTACTTAATGAGTACAACATGTTACTCTGGTCATGGATTCACTAAAAGCTCTGACTTCACCACCACACAATCTATGCATGTAACAAAATTGCACCTGTACTCCATAAATTTATACAAATGAAAAAAAAAAAAAACAGAAAGGATTCTTACCTGTAAAGCAAAGGAAGGTCATAGGTAACTGCTCTCTGCTAGTTTCCGTCAAATTGCTTTCACTCACACTGTCCTTTCCTCCGTCACAGAAGAAAGGTCCATTTAAGCTCTCACTTTCCCTCTGTGCTCTGGGTCCCAGGTCCCCCCACTTCATTAGGATTTTGTGCAGTCAAGAATCCTCATTTTCTGGATACCAGTGTTTCAAAATACAGAGCTGTCAAAACTTTAACAAAACGGCTACTCATCTGTTTGTGTGCAAGCATCCTGGAAACATGAGGACCCAGGGTGAGTAAGGGGTGATGGCAGGGACACCACAGCAGTGACAGCCTGCATGACCGTATAGTCCTGAGGTAAGCATCAGTCCTACTAGGAAATGAAAGTAAAACAAAGGTGGTCCCAAATCCTGGGGGTTAAACCCACATCAAAACAATCCATTTTCACTTGTGGATGCCTGAACGTGCCTCTGTACTGGCCTTGGCTGGCTCTGAGATGACAGTTCCAGGTAGAAAGGATGGCAAGTGGTGAGTATAGAAGAGATGTGTATGTACAGATACACAGATGACTGTGTATCCGTAATTTCAGAGCCAGCTGGAGTGCCATCCAATCGGATGGTTTAACTTTTGAAGGAGGGGAAGACAAGAGAATGACCATGGGTGAGCACCTGAGTATGAGCCATTGGAATAAATAAGGCTGACATCTGAATAATGAATGATGTCATCCTAGGGTCATGGTGACCTTGGCATTGCCCAAATTAAGGCCATTTTTCAGCCTTTGTATAATCAGAACTTTCTTGCCATATTTGATATGGTTGATCACTTCCTCTTTCCCTAAACTCCTCCGTGGTACCACGACAACACATTCTCCTGATTTTCCTCATACTTATGTGACTGTTCCTTCTCTGTCTCCTTCCTGGGTTCCTTTTCTTTTCTCCCATCTCTGAAGAACTCATCCATCCTCTGGTTTCATCTACCTCTGTTCTGAGGACTTCTCAGTCAATACCAACAGCCCAGTTTCTTCACGGAGCTTCAGAATCACATAGCCAAGCATCTACACAGTTGGTCACCTCCATGTGATGTTCCTTAGTCCCTCCAACTGCTGACCTTGAGCAACGCTCCCGCCTCGGCCTCCCAGGGTGCTAGGATTACAGGTGTGAGCCACCGCACCGCTTAGCCTCCCCTTGCCTTTAAGAGCCTTCTGTAGCCTGAAGCGAGCTAACTCTCCAGTCTCAG